CCCTGGCTGGCCCTTTCTCGGCGCCTCTACGCAGGGGTATGACCAGTCAGGCAGTCCCCTCTCCTGAACTTTTGGGGTTTGCAGAAGACTGAAGAAGCCCAGATTCAAAGACCCCCTCAGCCCTCTCCGAGCCCAGGGTAATGCTCCAGGCAGTGGGTAAGTCCATAACCTTCCTTGTGGACACGGGGGCTACCTATTCTGTCTTGCCTGCCCATGCTAGGCCTCTGTTTCCTTCCCAGGTCTCAGTTATGGGGATTGATAACAAACCCTCCTCCCCAAACAGAACTATAAAGCTGGCCTGTGTCCTGGAGGGACACCCATTCACTCACTATTCTGGTCATTCCATCCTGTCAGTTCCTCTCCTAGGCAGAGATGTTCTTCAATTATTAGGAGCCACCCTCCAATTACACCCCAAGAATATTACCACCCATCTCCTTTGGCCTTTAACTCTTACCTCTCTAATGACCTGACAGTACCTACTGTGATTGCCCCCTGATCCCTAGGTCTGAGACATCTCCATGCTGGTTATTGCCTCCCACCACAAGCCAGTCCATACCCAGCTGAAACACCAAACTAAACTTCCTTGTGTTCCCAATTTCCTATCTCCAAAACCCATAGGGAGAGATTTAAACACATTATAGATGGGTTGCTGGCCCAGGGACTCCCAATCCTTACTGACTCCCCCTGTAATACTCCTATATTTCTGGTATGCAAACCCGCCGGAGCCTATCGCTTAGTCCAGGAACTCCGCCTAATTAATGAGGCAGTTATTCCCATCCACTCGGTGGTTTCCAACCCTCATGCTTTTCTTTCTCATATCCCCCTTTGACTATTCACTTTACTGTCCTGGATCTTAAAGCTGATTTCTTTACAGTGCCTCTGCATCCTGACCCTTATTACCTCTTTGCCTTCACATGGGAAGACCTTACATTCTTTAGGTTTCGACAGCTGACATGGACAGGCCTACCCCAAGGCTTCAGGGACAGTCCCTACCTCTTCAGTCAGGCCTTGACGCAGGATTTAACTGTTTGTAATTTGGGGATAGCACTCTCTTACAGTTGGATAGAAGCCTTCCCTACCTCCAGGAAAACTGCTGACACCGTCGGAAACTGCTGACACTGTCGCCTCCATCCTCATTGAGCAGATCACTCCTAGGTTCGAACTTCCTGCCTCCATCCAGTCAGACAACGGTCCAGCCTTCACTTCTCGGATTGTTTAACTAGTTTCCAAAGGAGGCTCCACATCCCCCACTGACCCCAATCCTCGGGTAAGGTTGAGAGGCCTCATGGCATTCTCAAGGATCATCTCACTAAACTTGCTATTGAACTCAGACTGTCCTGGCCCAATCTTTTGCCACTGGCCCTCACCCAAATTCGGGCAACCCCTAGAGCCCCCTCAGGCCTTAGCCCCTTTGAGCTGTTCTATGGATGCCTTTCTTAATCGACCAAAACTTTCCTGTCACTCCTCCTCCCCTTGTGTCCCACCTGCCCTATCTCATGCTTCTATACAAACTCCTAAGAGAACACGCACACTGGTGTCTTCCTGCACCATCTGTTACTTCTGTTCCAGCACAATCGGGAATTAAATCGGACCCTCTTCAACCGGGTGACGCAGTCTTACTTCGAGAGCTACATTCTCAGTCGTTAAAACCTTGCCGGACAGGAACCCATACAGTCATATTTCCACCATGCTGGGGCCCACCAAACTCAAAGTTTCTCGCCAACCCTCTCCTGTTACTAATCATTAATCTCTCTCAAGCTTCTATCCCAACCCACAGATGGCGCTTCTACATCCAAGTGACATGGCAACAGGATGGCACCACCCACTCTCAGTCTATGGGTCAAGGCAATTGGCCTTTCACTGACTGTAATCGGGCCCTTAATGTTACTGGATTCAACTGGGCCACCTCATCCCACTTATGTTCAGCAATGCTATGCTTCATAGCAGATCAAACTGAGGAATCCTGTTGAAGCCATATCACCAGGAGGCCGCCCCACCTGCTGATGACAAGACTACCCCAGAGGAGCCTCAAGAGTCACCTCCTAGACCTCCCCTTTACTCCTGCTCTCCACATCCTAACTATCCTCTAAAACTTCGCCTGTCTCGCGTAACCGCCCATACTCCACCATGACTCCCACTCTTCTAAGTGGTATTTTCACAGTCATCACCCTTTTCCAGGGGACATCATTGTCCTCCTCTTAAAGCATTCCGAACAGCAGTTGTTAGACTCCATACAGGATCCATATGAGCCTAATGTCGGGAGTCCACCACAGTATTCATGGCTACGACTACTTACTGAAACTGTAACCTTCTTAAATCTAACCCTCCCCGCCATTACACCAACTGATTGCTACTTATGCGCCTCTCTGACTCGACCTTTGCTTGCAGCGGTTCCCTTGAACTTCTCGGCTTCTGACCTCTCAAATTTCTCCACTCCATCTGCCCGCCGTTCTCTCCGAACCCTTTCACCCGACACTCCATTATGGGAGCCCAAGGAGTCTAACCATACTGTGTGGCATACGTGTGGAGTGTCGGTGAGAGTTCGGGCAATAAAGTAGTTTCCATTTTGAACCTACAAGTGCCTCGTGGTTATTTGTGTCCAGCCAGACTATGGCAGATTGGCATGGTTGTAGACTTAACAAAAACCTTCATTCACTGCTGTTAGAGTATAATTTGGAATGACTATTCCATAAAACAGTTTGATATTACTTGCAAAGTTTAATATGTGAATATTTCAGAATATGGTAAATATCTCAGCAATTTTACATATGTCTAGACATATGCCCTAAAGACACAGGTGGTAATGTTTGTAGTCAGTGCTTGCATTAGCAAAAACTGGAAATAACCAAAATGTCCATCAACAGTAGACGGATAAGTTGTGGTATATTCAGGATAGGATGTTATAAACAGTGGAAATGAGTGAGCTACTGCGATACATCCACGAGGATGAAATGCAGAAACTGAAAGAACTCAGAAAAACATACGGTACAGTGCAATTTGTAAATATTTAATGTCAATCAAAACTGAACCATATATTATTTGCAGATAAATACATATGTAGTTAAAAATTAAGCAGTGAAAAGTAATAGAATTATTACCATAAAATTAAGAATAGAGCCTGGCTTGTGGCATACTCCTGTAATCCCAGCTACTTGCGAAGCTGAGGAGGGAGTGTTGCAAGTTCAAGGCCCGCCTGGGCAAAACCCCAGCTGAAATTCCAAGTGACAGCCTGCAGGAATGACCAGACATGGAGTGAGTGCGCCATCAGATGGTTCTATGGCCCCAGCTAATACTGATGGCACAGAGGCAAGCTGGTCCCACTCAGTCTTATCTAATCTGCAAATTTGTAAACAAAATAATGTCATTGCTTTAAGCACTGAGTTTTGAGGAGGTGTTTTGTTAGACACACTAGAAACTGGAACACTATACATTCACATGTCCAGATTAGTTCCAGAAACGGCCTGTCTAATTTCATAAAAAATCCTCACCCATCTAAGAGAATGTACTCTAGAAAGTATCTTTCCGTGCTCATTTTCATGTTCTTACAAACTCATGTCCACCTACATAGAGTTTTTGTTGCTATTATGGTTGAGTTTGTTCTTAAAAAATGAGGACTAGGGCTGGGCCGGGGCTGGACCCGGGGGGGGGGGCACTTGCCTGGCCCGTGTGAGGCCCTGGGTTGGATTCCGAGTGCAGAGAAAAACAGAGTGGGAAGGGGTGGGTCCTGCTCTTCTCCTGTACACTAACTCTGGAGAATGCACAACCCGTGGTCTCCTGCAGGCCAGGCCGGTTGAGAGCAGAGTAAATCCAGGAAGGGACGGTGAATAGCATGCAGCTTCTGGCCGGAGCAGATATCAGAGCAGTAGGCCAAAGGATCAAGTCAAACACTCGGAAGATGCAAGTCGGGAGAACGGGCTGCCTGGCTGTAGGAAAGAGGGCCTCACTGTCCCTGAGATGATGTTCCCGGAAGCTGACATTAACCATAACAGCATGGCCCCGTGTGAAGGGCTGGTCACTCTCCAAGGACCCCACGGGCTGAAGATCTCCCAGTGCTCTCTCACATCCTTTGTTCCTGTGGACTGGGGTACAGCCTTTCTAGGGGTGTTCCTGGGCCCAGTGATCTCTCTAGAACCTTCCACCTGGCCTCACAGGCCAACCAGTGGAGCTGACCACGGTGCTGGCAGACCTAGATGACCACCCGACGTTTTGCAGGGCACACTCAGCTCTGTTCTCATTCAGCCGGATGCAGGTGTGTGGGGGAGAAACCTTGGGGGGTATAGTAGAGGGAGGTGTCAGGGCGGCACAGCAGGGGTCACACAGATTGCTGATGTCGGGGTTGTCTGTTTTGTCATTGTTTTTGTGGTGTGTTTCAGTGGTGTAGGGTCCCGTGTAGAGAGATGAGACCATGATCAGCCTGAAAATAAAGGGAAGCTGGGCACAGAGGCGCACACCTATAAGGCTGAGACAGGAGGCGTGCAACCCTCGTGTCCTTTAGGCAGAACCCTAGTTATGGTGTCAACTGGTCACCATAACCCCATGCAAGACAGAAAGGGTCTGTCGGGTGCCACCATGAGCATGCGCCTTGAGTGATGAAAGTGTGGAGATGGCTTCCCTGCCGGGGAGGCAGGTGGACCCCCATCTCCGCTCGGCCGGGTCATGAGGCCATGGGAGTGGGCATCACCCAATGGGACTGGGCCACACCCCCCTGAAGCCCAATCCCTTGCCTCATTTGGGTGGAACTTTCTCGAGTGCCTTCCCTTCAACAAACAGGGCTTCAGGCGGGTGTGCTCTGTCCCTTGGGTCTGCCTCTCTTGCTTCCCTTGTGGGAGCTGGGGATGGGGAGCCACCACTGAACCCCAAGAAAAAGGTATTTTCTCTGTCTCTGTGTGATTATTTCGTGCCAACCCCATTCACATGGAGTGACCCTGACTGATTTAGTTGCGTGTCGCCACAGGGGTCAGTGGAAGAGGAGTCCCATGCCCTGCAAAGACAAGGTGGTCTGAGAACAGGTTCATCCGTTTATTTCTTGGTGCTTTGGGGGCTCATGTAAAACAGCACAGGAGTAACCAGCAACAGAGATGCCGTTCCATGTGTTTCAACAGTCTCAGCGCGGCTTTGGCAGGACAAACTGCCAAGGGGCAGAAGCCAAGTCCCTCTCAAGGGAGGGCTCAGAAGGTGGCAGGAGGGGCTCGAGGGCTGGACTTCAGATCCAGATGTCAGAGCTGCAGTCACCTCCTGGGTAGCGGAGCTCATGGGCTAGGGCTGGCCCAAGGGGCTCCTTCCCAAAGTCTACCAGGAAGTTGGGGTTCAACTTCAGCCCCCCCTTTTCAGTGTCTACATCGATTTGCAGCATCACAGAGCCCTCCCTGGTGGAAAAAGGAAAGGGGATAAGTGAGGACACTCCCTCCCCTCAAGGTCTTGTGGGCGTAGGGAGTGGATTCTTGAGGAGTGAGCAGGGTCTGAATGGGCCATCTATGTGGTGGGGTGCGGATGGGGACCCCAGGGAGTCTTCAGAAAGCCCAATGAGCCTTCTGGGAGAGGAGGGTGTTGGAGGGGAGCCCCGATAGTCTGCTTCTCACCTGATAAGATCAGGGTAAAACTGCTTGTCCCAGCCACTGTACAGAGACGTGGTGACGTACAGACGTTTCCCATCTAGGCTAAGCTGGATCATCTGAGGGCCTCCGGCCACCCGTTTTCCCTTGGGAGAATGGGATTTTAAAACTCAAGAATACCAGATCCTAGGAGGGGAGCTGAGCCCTTCCCGAACCTCAAGAAGACGCCCGCCGTGCCCGGACGCTGCATGCTTCTGGACAGGGACCGGGGGAGGGTGGGGACAGGGAGAAGTCCTCACCTTGACCACCAGGGGCTCCGGCTGGCACTGGAGCTCCGGGTCCTCCAGCACTTGCACGGGGCCTCCCTTCACGATGCTGCCCCCAAGGAAGATCTGGGTGCGGAGGTGTTGAGGGGGCAGGGCACACAGTGAGCGTCTGGGGCGTGGCAGGAAGGGCAGCTTGCTTCCTTCAGGGTCCAGTCCCCAGCTGGCTCCCCACATCCCCCTCGGCCCCCCGGTTGGCCTTTCCTGCTCCTCCCCGTCATCCCCCAGCTCTTTCACACCCTTCTCCCCATCCCAGACACTTCTCCTCCTTCCCCCCTTCTCAGATTGCGGGACCCCACCTGTCCAGCGAGGCGGGGCTTCTGAGGGTCCGAGACGTCATACTGCCGCAGGTCCCCGTGCAGCCAGTTGCTGAAGTAGAGGAAGCGGTCGTCCAGGGACAGCAGGATGTCAGTGATCAGGCCTGGGGGAGAGGGGTGAGCTCAGAGGCCTAAGGACTCTTGCTCCCCAGGCCTCCCCAGGGAACCAGCCTGCCATTCCCGACCTCCTCCAGGCACTCACCTGGCATTTCAGGCAGCATCCAGCCCTTGACTTTCTTTGGGGGGACCTGGATCACCTTCTCCACTGACCAAGTGCCTCCCTACATTGGGAAGTAGAGGGTGAGATCAGGAGGCGGCGAGCTGAGCTGTGAGAGTCGGGGGTTAGAAGGGCGAGGGTAGATGCGGGGCCTGCTTGCCACGAGGGTCCCCTTCCGTGCAGGTCCCCGGAGGCCATGTTTGCGCCGGCTTTACCCTGTCAGTCCCAGCCTAGCGCACCGCCTCCCACCGACGTCATGAAATGGCTTTACTTATTTTTTTTCCTCTTTTTCTTTTGTGGCCCTGAAGATTGAACCCAGGGCCACTCTATCACTGAGCTATCCCCCCAGCCCTACTTATATATTTATTATTTTTTTATTTTTTTAAAAATTTGTAGTTGTAGATAGACAGCATGCCTTTATTTGTTCATTTTTATGTGGTGCTAAGGATCCAACTCAGTGCTCCACACATGCTAGGCAAGCGCTCTGCCACTGAGCCACAGTCCCAGCCCCCTATTTGTTTTTTTATTTTGAGATAGGCTAAGTTGCAGAGGCTGTCCTCAAACGTGTGATCCTCCTGCCTCAGACCCCTGATTTGCAATGATTATAGGCATGTGCACTAAGTAGTTTTTGAATAAATGAATACGTATGGCCAGTTAGGGTTCTAGTGTGCTACGATCTGAATGTCTCCACCCAAACTCGTGTTGCATTTTAATCCTCATTGTGAGACATTAAGAGGCAGGACGTGTGGGACCTGTGAGGGGTGATCAGGGCACAGCTCTCACGAGTGGATTGATCCATGAATAGGTTAATGGATTATTCTGAGAGTGGGTTTATTATAAAAGTTTGGCTGTCCCTTGTTTGCACCCCTGCCACTAGGTGATGCCCTGTGCCTCCTGGGGATTCTGAATCCCCAGATGCCTCTCCTTGACCTTGAGCCTCCCAACCTGGATCCAGACCTGGGTGGGAAATAGATCTTTACTCTTTGCATACATCACTCTGACCATGGTAGCCAGTCACAGCAAAGGAGAACAGACAAGGCAGCCATCAGCCTGCGCTGTGCCAAGACAGGCAGGGCATGCGGCCTTGGTTTGTTCCCGGAGCAGCCTGGCCTGGTGGAATCAGGGGGCACCCTCACAAAACCCTGGCTGACAAGATGGCGGGGAGCCAAGGGCCGCCGGGGGCATGATACCTCATTCTTGAAGAAGCGCTGGATGTTGGAACTAAGGGCACAGCCCACAAATCCCTGGTCAGCAGCTGGGTCGTGCAGGAAGCGGATCTCCAGGGGAATGAGCCCATCCTTCAGAGGCAGGGTCTGTATGATCTCGTGGCGCTGCCAGTCCCACACGTGTATGTGGCTTCCGTACAGCCCTGGGGCGGGGGGAGAGCCGAAGGACGGGCTCAAGATGGGTGGTGGGTGGGGCAGGGAGGGCATGGGCAGAGGTGGGGCATGGACTAGGGAAGAAGGTGGAAAGGGGGGGGATCAGAAGGGTGCTGAGGGCAGTCTGAGCATTCGACACACCCCACACCACACCCTCAGAGTCTGGGGTCCTCACGACAAGGGAAGGAGGCATTAGACTTGGAGTGGGACTGGAGCAGAAGGACAGGGCTGTGGCTCAAGGCTTCTACAGCCCACCGGGGGATTCTCACCTGCCTCCACATTTGCAGGGTTGAAACCATCTTTGAAGACATTGGGAGGCGCCCATTCGGTGCTGATCATAACATTGTGTCGAGGCTGGTACCAGAAGTCATAGCCCATCGGGGCAGATCCCCCAGGCCGCTCCCATGTCCCCTTTACCTCAAAGGTCTCCCCATCCAGCAGCACAAAACCCCCTGGGCAGGGAAGGAAGGAGGGTGTCAGGTAGAGGCACCAGAGTCTCCACCCACCCTCAGCTCCCACCGCCACCTCCAGGAGACTCTAAGCCCTTTGTCTGTCCCCCCTCCTCCACTGGGTGTCCAAAAGGTCCCTCCCAGAGATGGTCAGGTGAGACGTGGGGCCTCCTTCCCTGGTGCCCCATCTCCCTCTATCTTCATCCTTCTCCTAACCTCAGGGCACATTCTTCTCCCTTCAAGGCAAGATATCTTCTGGAACTCGGGACCCCGTGCTTCTCTTCCCCAGCCTCCCACAATCAAAGTGGCCCTCCTCCTCGAGTCTAAGCCCCACTCTGCTCACTTAGAGAGGAGACACGTTATATCTGTCTATCACTCAACACGAATGCCCGATATTTTGCTCCCTTGCTGTGTGTGTTAAGACATCTTCATGTCTTTGCAAACACACCAGATGTCTACTCCTAAGTATTATTAAGTCTAGGAATATCGCATTCCTCCCACCTTCTGGACAGAGCTGTCAAATGCGGTCCAGTGCAGTACCCTTGGCTGAATGACCTTAGTTGATATCCCACTCCAGACCTTGGAGGGGAGGGGCTCTGAGAAATGCAGTGCAGAGTGGCCATTAGAGCATAGATTCTGGAGCCAGACTGCTGCGTCTGAGTCCCAGCTCTGTAACTTATTATCTCTGTGATACTGGGTCGGTCACTTAGCCCGTTTGCACCCCCACTTTCTTATCTACAAAACAGGAATCGTAATAGCGTCTGTTTTATAGTTTGCATCTGGCACACAGTATACCTAAGTGTGAGTCCTGATCATACCGTATGTGAGAGGGAAATGTGAAGACTGAGTCTCGAGCATTGTGGGATCTACTCAAGCCCTCGCCAGGCCTGATATTAAATAGATGTGTTACCTGGGACCGTGTCTGGTTCACATTGCTCATGGCAGACTGTTTTGCCTATGCCTTTTAACTAAACTCATCAGTCAAGGCTCATCTTCATAGACATCATTGAAAAAACAGAATCACGTGGTAACATTTTAGATATTGCATGGGACTTGGCCTGTTGGTGCCCCTGGCTCTCTACTCCATTGCTCCCCCAAGGACAGACACTTTCTGCATTTCACACGGTGCCAGCAGGTACCTTTTCCATTGCCCTTGGGATCTCCCAGGGAGCTGATCATGACCTCCCCACTGGCCAGGCAGTGGCTGGTGTGGAGGTAGCCCAGGTTGCACTTGGTGTGGACCTCCTGGGGCTCGATGACCTGGAGAGGGCGGCACTGGGTCAGAACTCTGCGGGGCCAGGGGTTCTCCACTCCCTACCTCCACCCCTCTACTGTCCTCTCTTCCTTCACATCATGATCACAACTCTTCCTGTGGGAATATGACAAAGATTCAGCCTGGTGACTTCTACAGAGAAGCAAGGAAGAGTCAGAGAGGCTGCTAATAACTTCCCAGGTGGAGAGCACCAGCTCTTCCCTTATCTGTCCTGAAGGGGCCCCTAAGCTCCTCCCAGGCTGGGCATGTGCCAGTGTCAACTTTTTATCAGCAGCAACCAGCACAGTGAGCGACTGGCACCAAGAGGATATGAACAAACAGAGGAAGAACTGGAGGTTTCTGCCTAAGGGAAGCAAGCCCTGAACTCATAACTGGCGAGGAAGCCAGTCATCGTGGAGCACACCTGGAATCCCAGCAGCTCAGGAGGCTGAGGCAGGAGGATCTCACATTCAAGACCAGAGACCTTGTCTCCAAATAAAAAGGGCTGGCGGGGGCGGTGGGGGGCGGGTTGTGGCTCAGTGGTAGAGCGCTCGCCAAGCATGCACGAGGCACTGGGTTTGATCTTCAGCACCACATAAACGTAAAATAAAGATATTGTGTCCACCTAAAACTAAAAAACTAAAAAAAAAAGGGGGGGGGGCTGTCAGGGGTGCTGGGGTGGTGGCTCAGCAGTAGAGCGCTCGCTTAGCACATGCGAGGTCCTGGGTTCAATCCTCAGCACCACATAAAGATAAATAAATAAAGTAAAGGCATAAATAAATAAATAATATAAGGGGCTGGAGATGTAGCTCAGTGGTAGAGCACCCCTGGGTTCAACACAAAACTGGGTTGGGGGAAATGCTTCCTTTCTCTTGTCAGAGTAGAACAAGAACCTCTTTCCTCTTCCCTGGTGCCCTGGCGCTCAGTGCTGGAGATGATGACTTAGCATGCCTAGGAAACTTTCTCCTGAAATCTCACCTCTAACCTCCCTCCCTGCCCCTAAGCTGCATCCTGCACAGAGGGGGAGGCAGCTGGTTTACGAGGGGCTTCCTGCCTATAGACTGATGGACTAGCAGGTGCGTTAGGGTCTCCCAGCCAGCGAGGGCAGAGGACATGCCTTATGCAGCTTTGGGGCCCGGGGCTCAGAGCCCACATCCACCACATAGATACGGGAGGAGATGAGACTGGGCAGCATTAGCTTGGTTCGGGATTTGGTGCTGTCCCCAAAGCAGCTGCTGCAGGTGTTCCATCCTGAGTGATGAAGCTCGTCCTTCAGGTAGGGCATGGGCAGCCGGTGGATGACCTAGGACCGAGGGGGAACCGGGGTGAGGCTTGCCCACGGGACACCTCTGTGCACTTTCAGAAAAGCATCCCCAGGGATTCATTTTGGTCTGAATCACAGCCTAAGCTGGATTTGTCTGTAGGTGAGTGTGCGTAGGGGTGTAGATGAGTAGTGTGCGTCTTGCACAACCACACCCAGGGAGGACTAAGAAGGCTAGGAAGGGCAGTGCAGGGTCCAGGGCTGGGGAGGGCCAAGGCCTGCCTCACCTGGCAATACTGGGGAGACTTGGGGTCAACATCAACAGTGGCCAGATAATCCGGGGCCTCAATGTTCGTGTTTCGGTAAATACAGGGCAAGTAGACAATCTCCTCCCGGGGACCTGGAAGGTAACAAGCAGGCAGAGGGGGCAGTGGGGTGGGGAGGAGTGTTGGGGGCAGCCCTGGGTGTGCCAGGGGGCTGAGGCCAGGCCTGAGGTCCCCCACCCCTGCCAGCCTTGGAATCAGTCCAGGGCAGTTACCTTTCATGGCCTCCAAGGGGGTAGGGTAGCCGGGGCCGCACTTGCCACATTTGGTAGCTGTGGAAAGAGCGGACACGTTGGCTAGAGCCTGCTCCGGAGAACAGGGCTCCTCCCTTCCACCTGCAACACACACCTGGCAGGCTGAGGCAGACGCGCTGGCTGCCGTCCAGGGCCCCACTCCAGGCCCCTCACGGCCCTAGCTGCACCACCCTGGCCTGTCGCCCGCCACCCCTCCATCCCTGACGATGGTGACGGTGTGGCAGGACAGACCCTCCAGCAGGGCCCAGGGCAGGTGGGGAAGGCAAGCACAGCAGAGGCCATGTGGCACAGTGGTGGTGACATCGACTTGGGTCCCAACCTCAGCCCACCTCTGGCTACCACGGGAACTTGGGCAAATTGCATAACCTCTTGGGCTCAATTTCTGCTTCGTCTGTAAAAGGGGATGATAAGAACACCACGCGGGCTTTCCCGAGACGTACACGAGGGCTCCCAGTGAACCCTGGTGGTTCTGGGGGGGTAATCCTCAGGGAGCAGGAAGGTCTGCCTAGCAGTCTTCACCACGGTGCTTACCCAGTGTATCCCCGGCAGGGCCAGAGGACACTTCCTGCTTTTCTCTCCTAGGGCCAGTCCCCAGAGGGCGGCCAAGCCCTGGATGACATAACCCATCCAGACAGGGAGAGGAGGCTGGGGTTCAAGGCGATTCTGGCCAGTTTCCACTCCCCTACACCCTGCAGTCGTAGGGAATGGCCCTCCTGACCCTGAAGTCTGGCAAGAGAGGTCACACTGACCCTCAGGGCCACAGTCAGCCTCTGAAGGACAGCTGCCCGGACCCCCAGCGTGGGAGTCTGGGGCCAGCCAGGAAGGATGACCTAGAGGGAGCTGCAGCTGGACGAAGTCCTGGAGTGCAGTTCGGTGGACAGGACGCTGCCTCCCGCCTGCCCTGGGACACACGTAGGCCAGGGGTAGTCAGAACCCAGCCTCTGCACTAGGAGGGGCGGGACCCCCGCTGGTAGCAGCCCAGTGACTGGGAAGCTGAGAAGCAGCAACAGCATTTCAGACCCCAGAAACCTGACTGCAAGTTCCAGATTTGACACCGACTCTATTAAATGGAGGTAACAATAATAATAATATCCTACCTGCTTCTCCAGGTAGATTTGAAAGTCAAATAAGACAACATATTCACAAGCACTTCCAAGTAAAAAAGATATATGAAAGACGAGTATGTGGAAGCATGGGTAAATAAGGCAATGTTTGCAAAAGGCTGGAATTATGAAATGATTATATAAATATGGGCAGGGCTGTCAGAACAGGGAAGAGCATGCCAGGTCCCTCTTGATGTCTTGAGAGAGAGCTCCAGATTGGGGGTAGGGGTGGAATGAAGAGAGAGAGAGAGAGAGAGAGAGAGAGAGAGAGAGAGAGAGAGAGAGATCCTGTCCAAAGAAATTAAGGAGACTTGTTCTGCTATACAACCAAGTCATGGCAGAGCTTGGCACAGGATGTCGGGGGATGAGAAGGAGGTTCACAAACTCCAAGTCACCAAAACAGATGCGAGGTGAGGCGCAGTGGTGCACACCTGTAATCCCAGTGGCTGGGGAGGCTGAGGCAGGAGGATCTCGAGTTCAGAGCCAGCCTCAGCAATTTAGAGAGCCCTGAGCAACTCAGCCAGACCCCATCTCTAAATAAAACATAAAAAAGGGCTGGGGACGTGGCTCAGTGGCTAAGCACCCAGGGTTCAATCCCCGGTACCAAAACGAAAAACAAACAAACAAAAAAAAAAACCCAGAGACACAAAAACTGCAGAGCCACAGAGAAGTAAAGGTGCGGCCAAGGGTGACTGGTTCCATGGCATCTGCCCAGTCCAGCTCTGCCCACTCCCCCCAGATTTCCCAGGGTCGGGCTGTGCAGGCCACTTAGGTCGAGGGAATGTCAGCCCTCTTTCCCAAGGTGATCTCTGTCGTAAGCATCTCAGGCTAGGTCTCTGAGCATCCTGGGTTTGGGAGGAACCCTGGGAAAACTCAAGCGGGTTTTCTCTGCCAGTCTGGCGGCTGAGCCTTCTGCCAGCCCAGGGAAGGGCCAGCTCCAAGAGACAAGGACACCAACACTCCCTCCCAAACCCACACTCCTCAGCCTGACACCCAGAAGCTACAGATGGAGGAATAGAAGGACAGTGGGTTGGAGAGGACACTGAAACAGGTCTCGGGTGAGAGAGTGTGGGTCTCTGACTTCCCCCCCCTGACTCTCTGTGTGGAGCAGCCAGAAAGAGACTTGGGCATGGAAGGCTTGGGCTCCCTCCTCCCTGGAATAAGAAGTCGGCCCAGGGCTGAAGGCAGGATTGTCTATCTCCTACAGCGACACGAGGGATTTCTCTAAGAATCTCTGCTGCAGGAAGGCAGCCTGGCCCTGCCTCTGCCGAAGAGCACTAGAGAGTAGCCCCTGGCTAAGCTGGAGAATGCAAGGAGGAAAGAGTGGAAGGAGAGAGAGAGGGAAACCTGTGTGCAGAGGAGAAAAATGGAGAAGAGTTCAATCCTTCCTTCTCCAACTGCTCCCTCCTCTCCAGTTTTGAGGCATTTCCGGGAGGGAGGATCCTTTAAACTAGAGGGGGAAAAAAAAAAAAACTAGAGGCGGCAGACAAAGGGTGGCCAGTGTGCGATTTCTGGAAGCCCCTTCTTACCCATGCTGCTGACTGGTAAGCTTTGGTTCCGATGGTTTGCCAGGAGCAGGCAGAGGGGAGGCAGAGAGCTTTGCTGGTGTCCGAGGCAGGCTGTGTCCAGGAAGGGGCAAAGGGAGGGAATTTGTACAACCAATTGGGGGCGGGGTGGGGCAGGGGGAGGGACTAGGCTGCAGCCCAGGCCGAACTGCACAGGGCAGCTGGCCAGGACTCTCTCAAGCGGCCTGGCAGTTGGTGCTTGAGTTACAGGGTATGTGTTCGTGTGTGCGTTTGTGTGTGGGGGAGCCTGGGCTTATGCAGATGGTCTGTGCCTTTGGTGGGTGCCTGCGTAAGTGTCAATTTGTGTGTCTGTGTATGCGCATGCTGCTCTGTGACCCATGCATGTACCTCTGTGTATGAGCCTCATGAGTGTGCACATGTGCTTGGGTGAGAGTTGGTGCTTGTGAGTGTGCTCATGTGTTACTATGTGCTTGCATGTGTGTGTACCTCTGTGGATGTGTGTACCTGTGTGGATGTGTGTGCGTATGTGCCTGCGTGGAGGGTCTGTTTGTGTGAGTGTGCGCATGCCCATGTTCTTGGGCCTCGGATGCTCTCCTCTGTATTTGGACCTCTCTGTTGGCATTTGGCGGTACCAGGGGCTGCGGGCCTGTCTGTTCCTTCTTCTACAGCCAGAGTCTGCTCCCCGCTAAGGTCTTCCTCTTATTCCAGTCCCCCATGCTCCAAAAGGCACAGTCCTGCTCACCCAGGGACTCCCCACCCATGGCTTTCTGCCACAGCTGCTCCAACAGAACCAGAGGTGACAAACGGGTCCGGATTCCACTTTTCCCCAAACCACTTATTCTCCTTGAGCTTTGAAGTAGAGTTAGAACCAGCGGTGCCTATTATTACCCTCGTAAACCTCGAGTGGTGAAAGTGGAGTGCCTCCCCCTCATCTCCCAGCCTGCTGCCTCAGTAGCCCTCGGGCGATGGAAGGCAGGACCCAAGGGCAGCCCAACAGATGCTACTGTCCCCAACTGGTCTGGTGATAGCCAGAAACCCCTCAGGGACTCTACCCTGCAAGAAGTCCTCTAGCTGGGATGGCCAGCGACTGCTCAGGGTGGCCATGCCTGCTGATAACAAGGCACCAGGGTCAGTAAAACCACTGCTCGCTGCAGACCTTGAAGCAGAGGGACTCAAAGCAGGGCTGAGGCCTGATCCTGCTAACTGCCTCTGGGGTCACCCTCATCCTAAGAATCCAGTGTTTGAAGGGCTGGATGAGAGGGAGACCACCCTCCCCCCACCTGGGAGCCAGGGTCCTCTTCTTTCCTCAGAGTTGGCTGTTTGTGCAGGGAAACCCCTGTGCCCATTCCTAAGGGAACTGCTTAGGCTGTGACTCTACCAGCCACTTTCATCTCCTGGATGGAAGCTCTGGGGTGAGGGTTTATTGGACGGGGAAAAGGGTAGAGTTTGGGCTTAAGATTGTCAGTGGAAAGAGCTACAGGGACACCTACAAGAAAGGAGAGGCCTTGATGGGATGACAGGCGCTCAAGTGATGCACTGTGAGTCACCTTTTGCTTCTGACAGGCAGCTAGAGAGTCAGATGGACAAGGCTGGAGAGAAAGTTCTCTGTACCAAATAATCATGTAGAAATATCCGATATAAATCCATTGTGAAGAAAGGCGTGAGAGAGAGGGAGGGAGGGAAGGAAGGAAGGAAGGATGGGCTGCAGGGTGGGGCCAGGGGAGTGAGGTGGTCGACACTGTTTGCATCGTGTATGGCGTGTATGGCGTGCGTGTACAGATATGGAACGACACACCCCACTATCCTGTGGGATCGTAATGAACTGGTCAAAAAAACAAACAAAACCGGGCTTTGGTGCAATGAGTGTCCTGGTTCCCATCAGTGAGGGGCCATGTGCCCACCAAGGAGGACCCTCTGTAGCTGTCCACAGCAGGGACCATCCCTTATCCTCAATGTCATCCAACCCCTCTCTTGGTGATCCTTGCCCCGGTACCATCAGCCAGCCGGGCATCAAAGCCAGCCTCCTGTGCAGCCCACCACAGGGGACACCCCTGAGAGCTGCTTCCTTGTTGTGCCGTCGCCTGGTCTCCAGGCTATTTCTGCCCATCCTGCCTTCATCCCGATCCTGGGGTCTTCATTTCCTACTTCCTTTCCACTCTCCTTTTGGCTCAAGGTAACCCTCCCTCCAAGATCTGCAAGAAAAAGCAACCCCACCCCTGCCTTTCATCAAAAGTTCTGGAATCATTACCTCTGAAAAACCTGCTAAAGTATTTTGTTTGTCCTTGAGTCTGTTGTTGACCTCTTACATGGTTCTGTGCTCCTCCGACCTGGCTGCTCCGAGTGGCTTCTCCATAGCACCCCTAGCCTTTCTCACTGAACTCTTGCTCTGAAGTCCGTGAGCTGGTTGGGGAAAGCTGTCCCAATCTGGGCCCTGCAAGGGGAGGCAGTCCAGGGAAAGGGGCCAGCTGCTCACAGAAAAATTCCCAGGGCCTCTGCCTTCTTCTGGCACAGATGGATCTGGGGCTTCCAGTTGTCAGTAGACTGAGCCCATTTGGCAGAAACATCTGCTAAATCCTCCTGATTTTGTTTCTCAAGAGCTGAAGAGCTCCTTCCCTAATCCCATCTGCACCTCCCTAGGTGTAGTAGGCTAACCACAGCTGGGTGACTCTGGAATTCACAGCAAGAGTTGGTGGCTGGGGAGCAGCCCAAACTGACCCTGGTGCTGATGACCCCCATGCTGGCACCCCTGCCCAGAAGCAGCTTGCATGGGAAGGCCAGGCTGGGCGGGGCCTGTTAGAGTCTCTAAACAAGTCTGGATGGCGCCTGGCATTTTGCCAGCGAGCCATTAAGTGTGGAGATGTCTTATTGGTTGACTGCTGTATCTAGTTTATGCTAATTAAGATAAGCTGTGTGGAATGTATAAATATCGCTCCAGTCCTACAATAAAGGGCTCCCTCCCTCTCCTGCTGTATCAATGTACACAAGTTGCTCGTCCCCCACCCCCCACCCCCGTTATTTTGCTGCAGCCGGACTGCGGCAGAGGCCCACTGCATTTCTACTGTTTGCAGCCAAGATAAAGCGCAGCACTGGAAGACAGGGGAGGGGGGGTACCAGACCTACAGCGGGACTTCTCAGAACGTTGGCTCTGGTCTCCTCAAACAGAAGTGAATTTCCCAGGCCCTGTGGGGGCTGGGTGGCTGCTGTGTGGGAGGATGGGCTGTGGCTAGCTCTCCTGTGCCCTCCCACCCTCAGCCAGATTACTTTGGACCTTTTCCTTTGGCACTGGGGATTGAAGCCAGGAGTATTTTACCACCGAGCCACATCCCCAGGCCTTTTTATTTTTTAATTTGAGACAGGGTCTCCCTAAATTGCTGAGGGTGGCCTCAAACTTGCAACTCTTCTCTCTCAGCCTCTTGAGTGGCTGGGATTACAGGTGGTGACACTGTGATCCTTGTGCCTCTTTACGGCGCAGGTTCCAAGACCATTGATGGGGAAGATGGGAGGTGAGGAAAAACAGGCTAAACCTAGTGAACAAAAAGGGAGGGAGATGATAGAATTAGTCTGTAAGAATAATCTAATGTAGAAAAAAAAGAAATTTGGTATTCTTTATCTCTAGCAAAATCAAAACAAAAGGGAAGCAATCAAACTCCAGTAAGAGGGAGTGACTTTGGGGAGGTGAATTAAATCAACATGCATGAAGCAGCTAGTACACGTCAACTTCTTTGATCTTTGCTATAATCCTGTAATCTTGCAGGTAATGCCATGTCCATTTTTTAATATTTATATTTTAGTTCTAGGTGGACACGTTATCTTTATTTATTTATTTCTATGTGGTACTGAGGATCGGACCCAGGGCCTCCTGCATGCTAGGCAAGTGCTCTATCTCTGAGCCCCAGCCCCAGCCCCACCAGGTCCATTTTAGCTATGAAGAAACTCAGGCACAGAAAGCATCCAAGCCCCTGGCTGATGGCAGAGTAGATCGCCCACCCAGCCCCCTGCGACTCCAGTTTTGCAGTCTCTCTGAGCTGCTTTGCTTTTTCTTCATTTTGCTTTGATTTGTTTGGTTTGAGGGAAGGCAGAGTGGGGAGGCAGAAGAACAAAGGAATGCAGAAAGTTGGGGGGTTGGGTTTCTTGGAGGTCCCAGGACAGAGGGACTCTTTCTCAGAGGTGGGGAGAAAAGTGAAGAGACTCTTGTCTGCTGAGTTGAGCGGAGGTGACGGGGAGGAGGATCAGCAGAGATGGTGCTGCAGAAAGGAGACAAGGAGAGCCAGCGGCCATGGCACCTCCTGGCAGCCCAGCGGTTTGGGAGGCTGAGGCAAGTTTGAGGCCAGCCTGAGCAACTTACCGGACTCTGTCTCAAAGTGAGAAAAAATACCAAGGGCTGGTAGAGTGTCCCTGGGTTCAATCCCCAGTTCCATAAATAAACAAGCAAGTTAATTAAAAACAAAAAGATAAAAAATAATAAAAGGAGATGAAGGGGGGGCTGGGGCTCAGTGGGAGAGCGCTCGCAGGCGCTGGGTTCGATCCTCAGCACCACATAAAGATAAATAAAATAAAGATCCATTGACAACTAAGGAATATTCAACAACAAGGAGAGGAAGGGTCTGCATCCAAGTGCTAGCTGGTGTTGCCTTAGGAGGGGGACACTGGAAGGAAGACATTTTCCACTTTCATTTTATATACTTTTCTCCTCCCCCCCATCTCCCCTTTTCCTCCCTCCTTTTTCTCTTCATTCTTTCCCCTAAGAATGGGGCTGGGGCTGTGGCTCAGTGGCAGAGCACTTGCCTAGCATGTGTGAGCACTGGATTCGATCCCTAGCACCACTTAAGGGTGAGCATGTAAAATAAAGGCATTCTGTCCATCTACAGTGACCAAAAAAAAAAAGGGAAAATTAAAAAAAAAATTAAAAAGTCATAAACACATATTAATTGTACTACTTAACGGGTTTCACTGTGACATTTCTGTGCATGCATATCTCATGCTCTGATCATTTCCACCCATCCTCCCTTCTCCCCTCTCTGGCCCCCGACCCCTCTCCACCCGTTTTCCACCTCCTCCCCGGGTCCCTTTTCCCTTACATAATAGGCCCTCTTCTACT